AAAGATGTGGTCTATGGGTTTCTCATCCTGGAATTGGACTAATCTTTTTTGTATCAATTTTCTTGTTTCTAAAGTGGAGATAATGTAACCCACTTTTTGAAAAACAGTTGTAAATAAATAATGGAATTATATTACACACTTATATCATCTTGTTAAAATGTGGTGTGTTTCTATACACTCCTCTACCCTAACTTACATAGTGCTTGTTTCTTATAAGGAACACGTCTAAAGCGTTGTTTATGAATACGATTAACTGTCCTAGCTAATGGTAGTAGGGCTGGTTAGTTCTTCAGGAATTAGGCAAAACTGAAGTACCTCATTGCGGGTCTGAGCTGCGCGGCTGTCTTCCTTGGGGCCCCTGGGGTGTGTGGGGCTGGCCACTGCACCTGGGGAGCGGTCAGGCTTCCTCCCCTCGTCCTCCTCTTCGATGTACAGGCGCGGCGTCACCTCTGGGCCGCCATGGCGACACCACAAGGCATCTGGGTCTTGAGATTCTAGCCCTATTCGGATGCCTGGCATCACCCCCGCACAGATTTCCTCATCTTCCTCTCCAATGACAGGGAGGGTTTGGGTCAAGGGACCCACATTAGTGTCTGTGGAAGCCACAAACTTATCCCCTAGGACTTCAGACACCTTCTCAGGGCCTGCAGAGCCTTTACTCATTTTTGTCAAATCTGCACACTTGATTTGAGTTGTCTTTCTGGGATCCTGGACCGGGGTTGCCTTGTAAGACTGGACTGCAGTGGAGGTCACACCTGAGCCAGGTAAAGGTGGCCGAGAGGAAGGTGATTTGGTGGGCACAGATGCTGGAGGCCATGGGAGGGGAACCGAGGGTTCCTCTTTAATTTCAAGGGTGATCTCCTCTAGGTGGTTTGGTTCTGCTTGGTCAGCCGATAAGGTTAAAGCTCCCAGCTCCTCTAATTCATCCAAGAACTGGTCCAGAAAAGGAGGCGGTGTTGGGGTTACAGGGTTTGCCGGCGGACACTTGGCGCTCAGAGACAGCCACCCCTGGAGAGGGCCAGGGCAAGCTTTGTACGTGAGAGGAGGGGGTGGTTCACTGGAAGCCAACTTAGAAATGGACAGGGATTATGAAGTAAAAGAAAGAAATAAACCAAGAAAATAATGATAAGGCATCAAAACACAGAGACAGAAATGCAGGAAAGGTAGTGAATACAAAAAATATTTTATGCTATGGTGTAGATTAGAAGATATTCTGCGGAACGTAACTCTACAAAACCATTAGCATGTTAGGTAGAATGTTATCTGGAAAATGAAAGTCTCCTAGTATTCAGAAGGGGTCTTCAGTGTCAAATGACGAAATAAAGCCGTAGAGAGAGGATAAGGCCAGACAGCGACCCTCTAGAGACGTCACTGAACAGACAGCCTCTTTCAGCTGGGTTCCCAGATAGTGACTTAGGTAGAAATGACTCAGAAGTAATAGTATGTAGAATGAAAGCCAATCATTAACCCGTTTCCAATCCCTGCATTCGTTTAGTCTTCTTCCTTTCTGTAGCAGCACCAAATCTTTTGAACTTCCACAATTTTATCACTCACTTGTACCAGTTGGCAGAAAACATGGAAGAAAATATTTTTACATCGTTACACATGAACACGTCTCTAAATGAAGAAGTTCCGAAAAACATGTTTCAGGAACACAAACTCATGCTCAGGAGGAAACTGAACTTACATTAATGACTACTTCAAAGTAAAAAAAAAAAAAATCCTGAGTAAATGATTCTACTGAAAGGGAGCATATAATGTTCGTGGGAGTCACCTTCTGCTCCGACTCCTGTCTCTCTCAAAAGCTTGACACTGCATGTCAACTGGGAGAGATATAATTTATGAAGCTTAATCTTCTAAAATAAACATGTACTCGTGTGTATCTTAATATTACGGCTATATTCTGGATGTACTGAACGAGACAGAAATTGTATAAAAATTCATTCAAAGGCTGAGAAGCGCTGCCTAGCAATGTTCTGATCCACGCAGCCATGGTTACTGGGTTGGAAACAGTGGTCCATGCCATACACAGAAAGGCCTTGCGGAGGCTGGTGGGTAACGTTATACTTTAGTTCTTTCCTGGTAGATGATTTTGGTTTGGGAAGAAAGGTTATGGAGATGCACTTTCTAGTTGGTTGCTCAGGGTGAGATGCCACTCATGCCCTCAGCACTTGGGGTCCCAGGGCCTTACTTAGTGTGGATCAGTGCCCAGGGCACCCCCACTCAACTTTTGACTTCTGTGTTATATAATAGACATGGGCGCTAATAGAATTTATTAAACTGTTTCTTTAAAAAAGCAAATATGTCAGGTTTCCATGTGGCGGGATAAATGAGACAAAGTGTCATAAAACTCATGTGAGCATTTTACAGAAGATTCAGGACTATAGGCTACTTAGCACTGGATACAAAGTGATGCTATACACCTGGTCTATCCCTGGATAGACACATGCTCCTGGCAAGGCCTGTATACATTTAACCTTTCATAAGACAGAAATGACCTAAGAATCATTTGATACTCTAGAGAAGTTTCCTTGTTGGCCAGAGTCCTGTTTTATGCTCTGTGCTATGCAACACAATAATAGATTTTGAAAGCTTGTGAAATATATAATAATTCAGAATTATTACTTTTCACTTTCACGAACAGGAATATTATGTGGATGAGAAAAGAAGACCTTTCAATTCCATGATCGTCGTTTTGACCCCCATCACTACCCTACTCCAGTGCCATTGCCACCACAGTCACTAATACATGTTGACAGGTCCGAGGTCTCAGCTTCACAGTGACCTCGTTTCTACTGAAAGTCAAATTAAGTCTCCTGGGATACTCATATCACAAAAATATACCTATGATACAAAAATCATATGATTATCTTATCTTCCAAAAGCATCACGATTGGATTCTACTGCATTAAGAGCAGGAATATCAGAGAGATTATCAATTTACACTTGAGTGGCCCTTAAAATACAGTATCTCAAGAAATGTGATTTGAGTGTGTCAAAGAGTGATTCATAAATCACTTAATGAATTCCTTTCTTTATTTGCAAATATCAGTTAAAAAATAGGCTATGTAACATACATTACATGCCATTATTTAGAAGTACATTATAGTTCTTTTTCTCAATGATGGAGTTTTATACTACTGAGAAGTTTCCTTCATTAAGCCAATGACATCACAGTGTAGATTACCAGATGGAATGAAATCATTAAGTATTTTTTTTTCAAATTATGCATGCAAGCTTTTCAACATTTTTCTTCCCCAGCAGTGAGAATAAAACACTAATTAGTTATTAGTGAAACGTGTACATTTCTGTATTTATAAAATGTAAAATTTGGTATTCTCAGGAAAAACGTAGGAAACTGAAAATACAGTCATATCATACTCACAACAAAGATTAAAATACTGTGATCTAAAATATTATGTTGCCAATATTAATTAGGACGTGATGGATGAATTTCTTAAATGTTAAATTAAGCCTTTGTAGATACATGCTTACTCTTTCTCATAAGATTTTATTTGAAGGTATAGTTGCTTTGAAATTTACCTGGTCATCATTTAAGATGACTGAGTAGAGGGTAAGCCAAAGATATGGATGAAAATTCTTCTCTTTTCATTTATCAGTAGGTGCCACTAAGGGAAGAACGTTGATCTCTAAAGGCTAAGCTCTGGTAGTGAAGTAAATATAATGAAGAAGATTCTGGAAAACTTTATAACCAATCAAACAAAATTGGATGGTAGCGAACGGTCCCGTTACCCAATGATAATGGATTGAGAGTAATTACCCCCAAACTGGAAACCTGGTCTGCAAAGGGAAGTAGAATGAGTATAATGCTTTGAAAGAACATGCTTCTCTTAAAATAGAAGATTCTTAGATTATTTACTTTTGTAAAATCCTTTTAGGACTCATGTTCAAGGAGTAATTCAGGTCACTGTGGATGTTCTCTTGAAATGAGCTTGCATTGGAACAAATGTGTAACGGCTGCACACTTTAGTAACGTCTGATACGTTGATGTTAGTTTGCTAGCTCTAGGTGGTTTATTTGTTAAATAATTAATAAATTATGCAACTTCATACATTTTTTTAAATGTTGGGAAGTACTTACAATATTTTGGAACTAATTCCTTGCTTATTAAATGTTTTATACTTGGAGATTAATGAAAAGGAAAAAGAAATCCCTAAATATCACCCATAAGAAGAACATATTATATTATAACTTAACAGAAAATTAAGGAAAAAACTCACATTGTGAGTAAAGAAAGTAGAATAATAGACTTTTCTAATTGACCAGTTCAGAAAGCAAAGTTCCTTTTAGACTAGATATTGAGAAAGATAATTAGCTCAAGTGAGATAGTTGAACTGGTATGCAATTATCCTAAAACTAATAAAATACACATGAGGACATCTAATGACCAATGCCATTTTCATTTAAATGAATAATCTGACTTACAGATCTTAATTTTAAAATTTTACTCTATTTCTCTTTCTATAGTAAAACATACCAAGACTTTTATAGAATTTTTCAACCTAGTTACCATGTATTGTTGAAATAAACTATTTTGGGATCTACTGATTTCTCTATAGATGCATATGTACATATACATACATATGTATATAATCCGTATATAATATACATAAAATTAAGCTTTAGAAAAAAATCAAGTTTCAGAAAAATCGAGTTTCAAAAAGCAGATATATTTATATATATGTATATATATGTGTGTGTGTATATATATATGTCATATAGGGTCTTATTATACTAATGTTTTCTCTTTCAGTATTTTACTCAAAAATGAAATTCTCAAAATCAAGCATTAAACCATTGGGCCAGCATCCATGAGAAAAATGAAATTATATTGACTTGACTGATCACTCATACTTAGAAGTATAACATGTAAATCTTTTGCTTGACAATAAAGATGTTCTAGTCTAATGCCCTAATATCATCTATTATCTTACTCCAAGCTCCCAAATGCTATGCTAATATGCTAAATGTCTTCTTACCTTATTTGAACTTAAGCTGTGGATTCTATCGCTTGAATAGCTGTGGGGTATTGGAGGGTCGGGGTAATCCTTGGCACCTTTGGCTGGGTTCCTCTTGACGACTTCTACATAGGAAACAGGGAAGATGCCTTGTCTGTTGGTTCCTGGAATTTTACCTTCGTACCAGTTTTGATCAACTCTTTTGAGAAGAATAACTCTATCTCCCTGTAATGAATATTAGGAAAATGTATTATAAATTGAGACATGGCAACATAAAAAATATAATTGTCAGTGTTTTGCAATAAACAATGGTTTTCCATTTGGGAAAGTTTTATACCTCCAGTTTTATTTAGTCAGGAGAATGCAACTAAAGGTCTCCGATTTCTTTCCCAAATTACTGCTTATCAACATATATGCAAATTACCCATTCACGACATCCTTCCCTAAGGATGCTTGGGTAACGTGAATGGGCTTATTATACATGTTCATTCTGGTACCGTGTGAAATGGCTTGTGTAATGTCAAAAAGCAGAATGGTTTAATAGGCAATATCTCAAAGATAGTAGCATCATCCTGTCACTGGAAGATTTGAGAATACCTTTTGCAGGAAGAGCTTCATAAAAGTGTAACTCAACTCTCTGTGATGAAATGGGTTGCAGAAATCAGTCTCTAGAAGGGATGAAGTTGAATGGCACACTGTTTTCCTCTTTAACCCACACGTGCTAACTAGTGACAAAAAGTGATGCTAATGGGGCGGGGCAAAGATAGCACTCGAGATCATCCGTGTCTGTGGCCAGGTCTGCATCCAGACAGTGTTACCTAGCATCCATTCTGAATGATGGGTCGTCATGCCACAGGGGTCATTAAGTATTTTTATAGAACCCCTGGCTTTTGGAATAATAGAACTTTCTACAATCACTATTGCTGCTACCTGCAGTGATCAAGCCAATGCCACAAAACACAGTTTATATTTTAGCTCAAAAACGCATGTAGCCCAGAAATGAATAGGCAAATTGTGGCTGAACAGTACAACTCCGCAGCTGAATCCAGCGGATCGTACGGAAGTTTGGGCAGCGGCACCTGAATAGGACGATAGAGGTGACACAAGGTCAAACGTCAGCACAGCAGGGAGGCCTTTTGCAGGTGCTACTCGAGGTGCAAGTTCTCTTTTTGCCAAAATGCTGGATGGTTTATAGAGACTGTCCCACCACTGCTGAGCAGAACATTCCAAAGCAAAGTGGATCGCCCCATGTTTTAGAACTGCACTGATTTTCTCTGTGATACACCAAGACGAGGCTGTTGCAAGCGATTGCTTGAGCTAGAGATCGCAGCGGTGAAAGCTTCTCTGGAAAGTCTGAAACCTAAGCTGACACCGTGCATGTCAAGCTACATTGCAGCTTGGAGAGCAGGAGAGAATGCATTGGTGACGCAGAGCCAGGACTCAGAGGGGAGGAGGAGGCGAGGTCGACAGCCGGACAAGAACAGCGGTATTTCCCTTCAGTCCTCGCAGGCAGGAGAGGTTCTAGCGCCGCCTGCGTGTGACCACTCGCGCATCTGTGTGGTACAGACGCACAGTGGTGCCAGACGGAGGGATGCGATTGCTTAGCAAACAGCAAAAGCGGTTGGTTCACTGGGTCATTCTCAACCGTGTGAAGTAGCAAGTGAAACAGGGTTCTTTTCCATATTGTTGGGAAGAGGTACTAGGATCAGACAGGTTGCTAGGGAGATTTGGGTCAGTCATGAGGCCTAGAGAAGAAAAAATTCTCCCCAGGAAGAAATATCTTCATTACTTTAGGACCTCTCCTTGATTCCAAGGTAAAAATAAGTATTATTAACTAAAAAATTTTAAAAGTTGAATGATACGGCTGCAGAACCACACTACTTTGCAGTACACTGCAGTTTCCTTTTGCTGCTTTTCACAGTATAACTCGATGGTACTCAGGCCAAGGCCCCCCTGGGAAGGGCTTTGGCGCCTCCCCGTCTACACCATGGAGGGAAAATCTCTCTGAGAAGCTTTGAGTCCTACAGGGACTCATCTGGACACAGGAGCAGCAGGAAACAGTGACCCAGGACAGCCTTAGGGCATCCTTTGTCCTTTCTTTGGGGGGAAGCCCAACAGTGTTCATGGAAGAAGACAGCCTACTTTAGTTCTGAAAACACACAGCCTTGCCCTGCACCGGGAAGACAGCAGGTACCTTTCTCAGCGACAGCTCTACTTTCGTGTCCGCATTGAAGTTGTACTTGGCTACAGCTTCTCCGATTTCTCCAGGCTGCGCGGGGGGAGGTGGTCTGGCGGGCTGTGCTTTTTCAGGAGGTGTGAGTTTCTATGAGAAAAACAGTTATTGATTCTTGACCTGTGAGGACTTTGGAATTAGCAACCACGTGAGTGGGAAGGGGACTTACCTCCACGTAGGAGATCGGAAAAATGCCCACTCTCCCCTGGAGCTCTCCTTCATACCAGTTCTGATCAATTTTCCTGAGGATGTAGACTGTATCTCCTTTCTTAAATGACAGCTCCCTGGAAGAGACATGTTCAAATGTTTTTTTTTTTTTCTTGATGTACAGCAGTCATTCTTAAGATCAGTAGACCTGCATTTGGCTGGGAAATATACTTCCAATACTAGCCCTTTTGGATACGGACTCGCCTTACAAATTCTTAGAATTCACTTGTAACATTAGAACTTTAGAAATCATTTTAAAAAGCACAGGTCTAAACATCACGTCTGATATGTCACAGGTAAATTAATACAAAATTTAAAGGTGGTACAGACTATTGCTAGCTAGTTATTATTTATAGCAGAGAAGTTGTAAAGCTGGCTGTAATGATGCATTGATTTTGTACTGATTTTTTTTTTCTCCTGAAGCTAGCATGTGAAAGAGCAGACTTCCCTGAGCCTTTGCTGACCTTGGACTGTCACGAGGAAGAAATGAAATTCACGTGTTCTGTATTGTTAGTTTGTAAAACCAACGTGCATCCTACCACCTGTCACACCATATCCAAAGGACGGTGGTTAGGACCAGAGTGTAGTACACACAAAGCAGGTGTTACTCTAATAATAATAAAAAAAAGTAAGCTTTTCTTCAGGATATTTTTTAACACCAAATCTAAGCCATGTTCAACATTTTAATTTCTAAATAGCGTTTTTCTTCTTTGGTTCATTCCCTATCTCAGCAGCCTCAGCAAATCTGAGTGATTTTATTTTTCCTGTGTCTTCTATGAGTGACAGATTCTGGAACAATGAACTCATATAACATGCATTTTTATGAATAGCTATTTGGGTTATTATATATATTCAGTCTAAACTACACAGTGTAATTTTATGCCAATTTACAATGAATTTTTTAAAGATTTTATTTTTTATCCTCACCCGAGGACATTTTTCCATTTTTTTGTTCAGATAGAGTGGGAGGGAAGGAGGGAGGAGAGAGAGAGAGAGAGAGAAAGAGAGAGAGAGAGACATCGATGTGAAAGGGACACATTGCACAACCCAACCAGGGCCGGGGACAAATTGCAACCGAGATACATGCCCTCAGCGGGAACTGAACCCGGGTCTCTCTGGACCGCCGGCCGACACTCTAACTGCTGAGCCACACTGGCCAGGGCTATTTTATTTTTTTAAGTAATTAATTTTTGTTACAGATGTTTCTCTTTTTTCTCCCCAATTGACACCCTACAAGGAATGTAATATCTTGAATTCGAATAGAGACTGAAGTTCCTTAAACAAGGTCTGAGCATTCGGGTCACAGCATGGTAGGCGACCCTCCCACTGGGGCCTCCTCATGGGCCTAGTACCAACGTGCCTCAACCACATGCCCGTCTGAGGAACGCGTTCCTAAAGAGAAAAGGTAAAACACACATCGCAGCGCAGGAGAAGGATGCCAACATCGCAGGAGAACAGGACTCAGAGTCGCTGACCCCGAGCGTTGACACGTGGAGATTTTATGACAGGAATCTTTGTGTACAGTTCTAGTCTTCAACCTCACACACCGTCCTTCATATAGTTGGATAAATAAATGTTATCAAGTTCTCCCCAAAAGTGTTAATCACTCCTTAACACTTTATTTTTACTTCATCTTGGCACGAAAATTCTAGAAACAAAGATTCTTAACTTCTTTTGTTGTACTTATCCATTTGAATTCACTGTGCCATAATATGTTCTGTGTAATTTAAAACTCAGTGATTCTCAACCACACACAAAGTGAAAATTAAATCACCCACATCCCAGTTAATTCAGAAGGAACCATTTAATTAGAGTGGGTTGATTAATTATTTGTCACACATCCCATTGCGATATTTATCTCAAAGTATTACTCAAGTATTTAAAGCCAACTTAAATCATATGATGAGTGCTTATCTTACTTACTTAGATGTCTGAGCCTTAAAATCATAAACAGCTTTTGCAGGCAATTTCTGAAAAGGAAGGTAAATGATTAACATTAACTTAAAATTTGTATTCCCTACAAGAAAGCAGTTCCACATGAATTAAAGGGAAGTGAAACATCAAGGAATGATTAAAATAGATAGTGTAAATTCTATATGCAATTTATGAGTACATCAATCAGTTCTTCCTTTAGATATTGAAGCAATAGTAGGAATATAATAGATGGCTGATTCACCATAACTATTGAATGTCATAATTCATCTTAGTAACTAAGGTAGATGAACCATAATAGGGTACACAATGCCTGCCGAGGATTCTGTCCGAGGTATAATTTTGGCTGTAGCCAAGGCATTTCCTGGGAAAATTGTGGAATCAGTTGATCTATGTCTTGTGTATTGACACATCTCCTTCTGAATAGTAATAAAAGGACTGGTAAAAGTCATGAAGGAAGTCATCATCCCTTTTTTTTAAACACCTACTAGCATAGTAGCAAAAGAAATATTAGCCCAATTATAACTGGAAGGCTAATTAGTGGCCAATGTATAGGCTAGTTAGTAGCCAATGTATAGGCTGGATGATTCTGCATTCCCTGGAGGGTTCAGGAATTCAGCCCATAGCAAAATAGCGGTTCCTCTTTTAGTCATGAGTCATGACATGATGTGACATGAGCTCCCCATCAAACCTTGGGGCCCATGGATCTGACTGGAGCACCTATAAGCTAGCTCCTCCGGCTGGTCCTTCCCTACTTCCCAATAGTGCCCTCATCCACTCTTTTGCACTGTGACTCTGGTGAACGTTAGGCAACCTGGACCATTCTTGACTTATTTGGGGGTCCCACGGGCACAGGACTATATCAGACACCTACAGAGATACTTCTGGAGGGGCTTCCAATCCAAGACCAGCCTTCAGACTCATGGCTCCAAGACAGCGTGAGCCAGATCTCCAACCCTGGCTCAGGACATTTGTCAAGAGCCAGTAGGGAGGTGGTTCCCAGGGACTGTGGTTTCTGTGAGACCCTCTCCAACAAGAGAAGGCCAGTAAAATTACTTCTATAGACCTCGTATTGATTTGCGACACAGTTGACCCAGTGTTCTTCCCTACATCACTGGGCCAGGGGGAACCTCCTTTCTCCACGGGTGGCCCAGCTCAAGGCGCTTTTAGACGGCAGCTGCTAATTCACCACGTGAGGTCCAGGTGCGGAGAGGCCCCACTGCCACCGCTGGACCACAGCTGGGGAAGATCTGCAGCTCGGGTGAGGTGTGAGCTGCTCCAGGCCTTCGCGCAGGCTCCAGGGAAAACACGCTCAGTTTCTCCGTTGTCCTTTTATGTTGTAATCTGGGTTCTTTACTGGCTTTGGACATAACTTTGACTGGCAAGTGTCTTGTTACAAGAACTCAAATGCTAGCCAACTAACTACCTCTTTATCTGGAGTTCCTCTTCTTTCCCTTGGTGAGCTTCTTCCCAAGTCAGTGAAAGTGGACGAGTAACTTCGAGGGGACTCACGGTCTATTGGGAAAGACAGGGCCAGAGTGAGTATCCACCTATTAAAAGCAGACTTGTTTAGCCATTTTCCCTGGTGGAACTATTTTCCCCCTTCAGTGTGGAGAGACATCACAACGGAGAACATGGGCTTACAACTCACAGGCAATCGTAAAATTGTGGCATTAGACACAAAAACAGAGCATTTCAAAAGGAAAACTACCTGAGGTCGCAGAAGTATTAAACTTATATGTATAAATATAGTTGTTGCATTGCTGATATAATTACACAGCAGCATCCAGGCCAGAAAGTTTATAGTTGCAAGGATTTTTCATCTCAAAGTCTTTTTAATGTTTTCTATTCCTATTCTTTTTGCCTCCAATTTATAATCACTATTATAAGGCCTATAGAAGATGGAGAATAACAATAATTTATAGAAACAGAAACATTTTGTGGAACAAAAATTTAAGAATGCAGTAAAGAGAAAGAAAGAGAAAAATAAAGGAAGTCGCACGATGATAGAACTATCGCCATGCCATTCTCTCTCTCTGATTTTAATTATTTATTGAGTCTTGAAATGTCATCCTGAGGCTCAATGCTTAAAAGGCCTTATCTCTGTTCTTCCCTTGTGCTCAATTCAGTTATCAAAAAGCAAATATTTATTCCAAGAAACAAAGAGATAACAAATCTCTAAGTTAAAAGTCGTATCAGTTGCCAAATTGCTTGTGAAATATTGAATTGTTTTTGTTCCTCTTAAAACAAAGTATGAATACTTAATTACTTTACAGAATTATGATTGCAAGGGTATCTTAGTGGTATCTTATACCTTACACATTTATATGTGGAAATGTAACTAAAGGTATTCTGGTAGCCTGTGTTATAAAATTTTACCAGTATAACTGCGTCAAAATTTGTAAGTTATTTCTCTTATCCCTTTAATAAATTTAATTATAGTGACTAAGAAGAAATATTAAATATAAAAAAAACCATCTGTAAAGGAATGAAAAATGCTGATTCATAAAAAGCAAACACCGTTTAAAGGTGTTGACTACTTTGATTACAAGGAAGAATTGTCTAATTGTAGCAGGTAGGATATCAGTTATATGACAGATAAAGATAAATGTCCAACTCTCTTGAGGTGTAGATTCCAAAGTCTTTGGCTTAGGAAGGTAGCATGGCAGTAAATTTTCAGGAAAGTTAAGCAGCTATTTTCATTAATGCGAGAGGACTATGTACAGTATTTTTTCATTATGAATGAATATACTTTTATGATCATAGGGCTCTCATAATGATTGTAAATTTTAAATTACTTTTATTAATCCATGGACTATAAACTACTTTGCATTTAGGCTAAACACAATTGAAAAAAAGTAAATATTTTAATAAAATACTAAATACCCTTTAAATGCATTTCCAAGGCTTCTCAACTCATGTCTCAATGACAGTACATACTCTATCTGCATCTGAAGTTGAGAGCTGATTAAACTAGGATCTTGAATAACTGGAAAAGGTAGAGAGTTAATTAAAATACTAGATTCTGACATGTCTCAGTCAGAAAACATTTCAAATTGTAGAAATTGATTTTTTAAATTCTAATTTATTGTTTTTGAATCATGTTGCATAGTATAAATAGAGAAAAGATAAATACTAATAAGATAGTAAATTGGTGCGAGGAGAATTCACAATTGAATCATATATTACATTGATCCGAAGCTTGAATTCAGTCTCTTTTTTGCCTCTAGAGATTACATTCATGTTACAGATTCTGAAGTGTTAGGGTTTGAATCTGTTACTGCCACCTCGTCACTGCATTATTGTTCTCTCTGGGTCTGTTTCCTTCATTGTAAAACAGTACTTACAATAATACTTGTCACCTAAGTTTATGCCAGTGTTAATTGGATCATGTATGTAAAACATTTTGCAATGTCTGGTGCATGGAAGACTTTGTTGATGATCCAAGTTTCAGCCTGAAATGTTTATTCCAACTTCTTACAATCTATATAGGAAACAAATGCACCTTAAGAATTAATGAAAAGAACTGTATCAAAACACTTTGTGTTATGTAAACCTCAAAGGAATGTTTACTGTATCTGAATTGCTATCTGTCCTTGTGTTGCCACTTCAAGGTGATAATTCATCTATGATAACGGAGTTGAGGGTCCCTTTTAACCTAAATGATCTAATTCAAATGTCAATATAGAATTGTTTTAGCAGAAATAGAAAATAAATAAATTAAGCAATGGAATGGAAGAGAAAATGAATGCACTGAGTGATGAAAATCAGACTGTTATATATATAGCTTAAAGATACATTCACAAAAATTTTATCCCAATTGTGTCCTTTAAATGGAGAAAGCTATTAAACAAATTCTAGTCTCTTTTAACAATCTATCAATTACTGTGTTGCATATTTCAGTTTTGCTTCCTGAGTGTTTTGATATAGTATCTTCTATGTAGAATGTGAACAAATTATTTATTGAGTGAATGACTGCAAAGTTCTAAAAAAACAATGAAAATACTATTACACTATTGGTTTTTCTTCATTTTCCAACAATAAAAGAGCTAATGCAAAGTTGCTAATCTCTTAAGGATTCTGATAGTCAATTACGGTTTCTGTCTTGAAATCTTTTAAAATTGGTACAATGTTTGATTTCTTGTGTGTGACTGACAGTTGTTTCAACCCTAACATTAAGCTACAAAATCGTCTTCCCTTTCCATTTTGAATGAGTAAATTTTTGTGAATTGATGATCCCTTTAAGCCACACATCCAGTCCAAATGGCACATGAGAACTATTCAGTAAGACATGTTTGCACAACAATGATGCCAGGTGGTCTCACAGCTCAGGGATGGTGAGATGTAGGGATGAAAAGTGAAAGAGCTGGAGGGTGGGTATCGGAACCACAGGGAAAAACAAAGAAAGGCGCGTCCACCTTGGAGACTCAGTGCACTCTCGTGGTCTTGGTGGTGGTAGCTGTTGTTGTTGGTGTCCATGTCTTGGAAAGAGGCACTGTGAGGTATTCTCCCACAATCGTTCTGGTACAACGGACAGTGCGCAGCACCATCTCGAGGCAGTGGGTGGGAAGGCTGGTGCGTGGGGCTCCTGCTCAGAGCTGTAAGGGATGAATTCCTTTCGGGGACATCTGGCATCAGCTCACTGATGAGACGGTGCAGTATACTGTTGTCTGGCAAACTCCCCCTTCTCTTTTCAGCTTTAATCTGGTCACAAATGTCTTTAAGGGCAGAGTCCAGAGCCTCAAATACAGACGCTTTACATTTTGCCTTTTCAGTCTGTTTTTTGGGAGTCGAATGTTTTTTCCTCCGGAAAGGCACAGGACTGACTAGAAATGCAAGTTTTGAAAGGCCCGGGTCCATGTCTTGTCTTCTGGGCTCTTCGGTATTTTCATGCTTAGCTCTCTCGTGTTTTAGCATCGTGGTGAACCGAGTGTAAGAGGCAGGACACCTGCCTTTGCAGGAGCTGATGAGGTGCCGATGATGGAGGTGGTGATGGTGGTGGTGGTGGTGGCTGGACCCATAAAAACTTTCAGAGGATGTGAAGGAAAAGTGATCGAAGTCGCTCTCACTGCAGAAGGACGATCCTTCGACGTGAATGTAGTCACTGTGGTCGGACACCACTCCGTCTTGGTCGCTGTCGGAAAGCTCCGCCTGAGTCCTCGGTTGCTCGTCACTGGTGACCTCGATCTGGATGGGCACCAGAGCTTTGGGCTGGTAGGTTCGTGGCATCTGACAAGGGTGTCTGCTCGGGTTTTCTTCCTCCAGCAGAGACTCGATGGAAAAGCGCCTCTTGGGACATAACCCATTTTGCTGTGGTTCTAGGATGACAGGAGACAGCATTTCGTCCCCTAAATTTGGCATGGACTTTGACTTCTGAATCAACTTTTCAAATTCAGAGATGCGGGTGGGGACCATGTCCCTGGGCACCTCCTCGGCTGAGGACTGGCTCCACCCGTGGAGCAGGCCCCTGCTGGGCGGCTCGTTTTCATACTGCATTATTCTCGACTTCACCGAGCAGATCACCTCCGAGTTCATCAGGTCCTTCCGGTTAATGCGGTGCATCTTCTTGTACAGTTTTAGGAACCCGGGGGCGCTGTGGGCCGGCCTGTGGCGGAGCCGTGACCTGCCGTTACTGCGACCCTCCGGGACGTAGGGGGAGGCCCAGGGGCTGGGGCCGCTGTCCTTGGGGTCCTCTTCGCACAGCAGAGAGCCCATGCTTTCCGACTTGGTCTGCGGGTCAGGGAAGCTGTCGCAGTCATCGTTGAGGAGATCGTCACAGCTCCGGGATTTGATTTTGGGGGACACTGTTTCTTCGGTGCTGCTCCAGACCTCTGCGTTTTGCCGGGCCATCTGCCAGCCGTTTTTGAAAGCCATGGCCCTCTGCGAGTCGCGCGGGACGTCCAGGTGCTGTCTGTAAGTGTTACAGTAATCTACCTCATTGCAGGGGCTACCGTGGGGCCCTGAGCAACTGCAAAGGGGTGGACACACTCTGCTGTCATCCCCACCTTTTAATCCAGAGCAGCGTGGTGGAAGAGAGACATTTGAAGAAGTTAAAAGTTTCACATAGAGGAGAGCGCATCAGTTAGAATCAGAAAGCACAGAAGAGAGAGGGCAGCGTGGTTTAATCTAGACACTGCTACGCATGAAGCTTCAACTTTAGAGTAAAAGGTCTAATTCTACAGCATGCTATTACTTTTTCAATGAATGTAGCTGTACAGATATTAGAGTAAACAAAACCATGCACAAAGAGTAATTGGTGTCGTTAATAATAAACTGATCTCTGTCAAATACTTCATACATCTTTCTGCAAATATTATACACCCCCAATGCAATATAGTATCTAATATGCTAATAGCATGACCCCGCAGTAATGTAAAGGTTTTAACAATTAATGCCAAAAGTGATACAGATGTAATCAACTTAATAGGGTCAGGATTTGAATCTCATTTGATATATAATAATAGGTAAAGCAAAATTTATAAATTTACATTTAATTAAAACTCCCACAACTGTATTAATTTTTCATTAGATAGGAAAAGCTATAAGACAAAGTATTTCCCGAAATTGCAAAATCAAGATGCTGTGAACGACCGCTGCTAACATTTTTCCAAGAGAAGAATAACCAGCATCTCTTTAAACAAAATGAATTCACCTCTCTAGTTGCTCCATCTAGAACCTTTTATTGGGCAGGTTCTCATAAGGATAACTGGATGTAATATAAAACTTTCATCAGAGGGAAAGGCATCCTGCTCTTTTCCAGGGAGTGTCTTTTTAAAAAAAGCATTTGCAATTTGATAATAGAGAGAGCTAAACATGACCTCAGTTTAGAACACATGGAAAATGTCTTTTCTTTTGTTTTGCTGAGTTAACTAATAAGTGGGAGGCCAAATACATCTAATGGGTCATTTTCTTCGTAGAAATAAACCTAGTGGAAGAATATATCTCTAGTGACAGTTCCTGCCTTATAATATTCCCCCAACTTTTCACAAGTAGATAAACCCATACATAAGTCATATTCGGGAGAGGAAGTTGGCTTAACACTCTCTAGGATAAAAACAAATATCTAAATCAATCAGAATTCTTTGAACTTCTGGCTGGTATCCATGTATAATGAAACAACGGCATGTTATGACCTGTGTGTTACCTTAGATGTTTGTTTGCATGAATGAGTGAAATCCGGTACAGGTATCCGTGCGAATCTGAGACATGATACCTAGCAGGAATGCCCTCCCTCCAGACCTTCCGATACTATCCACAACTTTTCCAGGACGTGGGAGAGAGCTGCTGCCTTCCGTTTACGCAGACTCTAAGTATCAAAACCAGCCTGCCTTTGCACAGAAACCAGCTACCTCTCACCTGTCTACCGTGTAGCAACACTTTTGGCGCCTGCATTTAATACACGTAGCTGAATCTGTGCTATTCATGGAAACTTCTGTTGGAGCTCACTTTCTTCACACAGATTCCTTCCCTGTTCTGTTTCAACCCCAGGAGACTGGAGGAGACAGTGGAGCCCGAATTTGGTAGAGACCTAGGTGCCTAGGGGCGCTGGTTCAGTCCTCGGTCTCCAGCTTAGCGGTCCTGTTACGAGGCAGTGATGCTCAGCATATTTCAGACGCTGGAAGAGGTGACTTGCTCTCTTTTAGTACAACTCACTGGACGTCCACAGAGGAGACAGGTCATATGGAGAAAGGGCTTTGCAATGTCTAAGATTTATAAATATGGCTGAAAAACCAGGTAGTTCTCTCTACTGTACTCTGGTGGATTGACACTATGTTACTTAAAGAACATGGATATTCTACTGTATACATGAATACTGACCAAAGTATAGAGCAGATGATTAAAGAAATGACTTTGCAGGTTAGACAAACTTTCTCTAGAATTAAATAATTAAAAAAAAACAGTTTATGATTTGGGCAACAATGTTCTCTATTGCTATTTCTAATTCCTATCCTATAAATTTGATTAATTTTGCTGGTTGTATAACATTAGAAAAATGTGACAATATGCAAATATTTATAAATGTAATCTTTTACTAGCCTGACAAGAAATTATTTGATACTTTCCACTTGTTCCCCCCAAAACCACAAATGACATAGTTGGAAGGACAAAAGCATTAACAGATGATGGTCAGAGTCCTTTAGCCACTCAGATGGCTCAGCCACCTAAGTTAGTCTGTGTAGGAAAGAGCTATTGTTCTAGAATGGTTTGTGAATGCTACCACCTCTGGATAATTATCCCTGGACCACGTCCCACGGGGAACTCTGGGTTAAAACTTACACACTAGTAACTTGTTGACACTTCAGTTTATTGCTGTTTACCTTTTGCTCTGGACGGGGAGGAGGGGGAAGAACTAATGAAAGACTTCGTCAGGGTGGCGCTTGATCCCGGGAGGTCCGCCCGGCCTGGGCTGGTCCTGCTGGCCCTGGGGTCCCCCAGGCCCCGGGGCTGCCCCACGGCCGGCTCGCTCTTCCTCCTTTTCCTGAAGTCACTGGCCAGGCTTGCAGAACTGAAAGAGGAATCATCTTCAGTTTGACGGGTGTTGCAGAAAGATGGGCGGGATATGCCAGTAACAGTGTTATCACGCTTACCCCTAACCCCAAACTGCCTTCTTAGGAGTTTGTTTCTTGATAGTAAACACCATTTCTTTATAATCGTCTCTAAAACATTATTAGAAATTATTTCTAGAGCAGTTTTAGGTGAGTGCAAAGTGATGGGAAAGGAGGGAGAGTCCCCCCCACACCCTTGCACACAGCTTTCCCTGTGGTTGACATGGTCTGTCAGTTGATGAACTGTACTGACACATTGTTATCAAATGTAATCAAAGTGCACAATTTACATGGGCTTTATGTTTTGTTTTGTTTTTCCCCAGGTCTCTTTCTTTCTTTTCTTTTTTATCCTCACCTGAGGACCTTTTTTTTGCATTTATCTTCAGATAGAGTGGGAGGGAGAAAGGGAGGAAGAGAGAGAGAAACGTTGATGTGAGAGTTTCCACCAGCACGACCTCAACCCGGGCCAGGTACAAACTGCAACTGAGATACATGCCCTTAGCGGGAACCGAACCCGCGACTCTCTGGTCTGCGGGCCGACGCTCTAACCGCTGAGCCAAACTGGCCAGGGCTCGTTTTTGTTTTTAAATTTTTTTTCTTTATTGATATGAGAGAGAGAGGAAGGGAGAGGTAGAGAGAGATAGAAACATCGATGAGAGAGAACATTGATTGGCCGCCTCCTGCATGTCCCCCACTGGGGATCGGGCCCACAACCTGGGTATATGTCCTGACTGGGAATTGAACTGGCGACCTCTTGGTGCATGGGTCACTCTCAACCACTGAGCCACAGCAGCTGGGCAGGGTTCATGTTTTTTGCTGAACATTCTATGCGTTTTGACAAATGTGGATCCTGTGTCCATCACTACTGCATCAGGTACGATAATGTCACGTCCATGACAATCTCCTGTGCTCCGCACCTCTTTATCCCTCCCTCCCTTGATCACCTGCAACCATGGATCTTTTTACTGTCTCCATGGTTTTACCTTTTTTGGAATGTCATATAGTTGAAACAGACAGTATGCAGCCTTTTCAGATTGGCCTTATTCATTTAGCAATACACCTTTAAGATGTTTTCCTTGCCTTTTTATAGCTGATAGCTCACATTTTTATTTTTTATTGTTGAATAACATTCCATGACGTGAATGTACTGCAGTCTGTTCACCCATCGAGCTGCTGAAGGACATCTTGGTTGCTTCAGAGTTTTGGCAATTATGAACAAAGCAGGCTTTACAGTGGATGTGAGCTTATAATGATCATTTAAAGTAAAAATTCTCTCCCTGGCCGGTTTTGCTCAGCGGTTAGAGCATCGGCTTGTGGTTCAGAGAGACCTGGGTTCGGTTCCCGCTAAGGGCACGTACCTTGGTTGTAGTTTGTCCCCGGCCCTGGTTGGGTCATGCGAGAGGCAGCCACTCGATGTGTCCCTTTCACGTCGATGTTTCTCCCTCTCTCTCTCTTCCTCTCTCTCCCTCCCACTCTGTCTGAACAAAAAATGAAAAAAAAAAAAAAATGTCCTCGGGTGAGGATAAAACAAATAAAGTAAAAATGCTCCAATTATTGTACTGTGTTATAACTGACAATTCCGTCTTAGGATTTGTATTGTGTATCTGTTGTCTATAAAGAATCCCAGCAACATGAATACACCCAGAGGAGAAAAGGCCAAAACGGAGGAAAGGGTTGGAACGAGGAAGATACCTGATGAGACAAGTTTCTTACCTTAGGGCTTCTCTGTGGCTCTTCCTAAGAATCTTACCTTTAAAAATCTTACACTGGAATTCTCAAATTTTCTGATTTAAATAATGAATGACCAATGATTTGGTTAGTAAATAAACTACTAAAGGGTCCTCTCACCGGGTTGTATTAAATAGTATCAACAGTATTTTTTTTAAAAACTGTAGTTTGAGATTTATTTATTTATTTTATTTGTTTATTGTTTTATCCTCACCCAAGGACATTTTTGCATTTATCTTCAGATAGTGGGGGTGGGGTGGGGTGGAGAAGCATCGATGTGAGAGACACACACCTAGTGGCTGCCACCCACATGACCCCAATCAGGGCCAGGGACAAACTGCAACCGAGATACATGCCCTTAGCGGGAATCGAACCCAGGACTCCCCGGTCCACAGGCCGATGCTCTAACCGCTAAGCCAAACTGGCCAGGGCTAGTGGCAACAGTCTTAATGGCAGGACATTTTTATCATGGTTCTGAGTCTATCCTTGAAGACACACGTGGTGATGAAGGTGTACATCACACAGCACACTGTCGGTCGCTAGATAAAATCCCAGCAGCAGCAGCAGCAGCAGCAGCAGCAGCAGCAGCAGGGCAGCTCCCAGCCAGCACTCTGCTGCTTGCTGTGCTGATGTTGTCTTACAGGGCCCGCAGCATTATCACCGTTTCATGTATCAGTAGATGGAACCCACGCGCTCTGCTCCACAAGTACAGGGGTGGCGCCAGACCTGAGAATTCGTCTGCACTCTTTGAAAAGGGACGCCCCATCTCTTAGGCCTGGTCTGCTGTCATTATTCTGTCATGAGAGAGACTCTGTATCTTTACAGCGAGCCTCAGGTCAGATTAGAACTCTAAAATTCAAACATTTTAGGTGCTTGTATAGATGGACGATATCGAAGGAGGGGTTGGAGGGGCTCCTTTTTTAGCGACATTAATGTCATTGGATGGTGCTCATGAACCCAATCTACGAAGTTTTCTACTTATGCTGATAGAAATCGATAGCGGGGCAAATTAATGTTACAAAAATATGAGTCGTTGATGATACGGTGTAGCTGGGAATTAGAATGATTCACTATTGCTGTCAAACTGTGTCTGAATTTCTGTAATATTTTCAAAAGTATGATTTTCAAAGCCCACCAACAGAACTTACCTTGGCAGACTTTTAAGGCAGGACTAGTGGTTCATTATAAGCTCTTTTGGTTCAGTTCTACTTTGTCTTGCTCCTTGTCAACTGGGTAGACTCAGTAGGTTATGGAGCCTATGTGTCAGTTTACTCAGAGATAAAATGGGGGTGATGGTACTTAACTCATAGGGGCATCTGCAGGATTGAATATGTTTATGTACGTAGAATGCCTGGCATCGAGTGCAATCACTTATGGTAGTAACAGTAATTCTGATTTGTGTGGTTAGAGTACAGTGAACAAATATGCGTAGAATATAATTTACAAACTTTTTCAAATATGCAGGGGTGGGCAAAAGTAGTTGTGGGTATGCAAAACGGCTTGTTCTTGTGCTTTATTTATGATCGTATTTATTTGTATTACAACTGTCAACCTAGTTTTGCCCACCCCTGTATTATATGTCATATGACAATGTTAAGAATTAGATGTTTCTAATCCCCATTTAGAGAAAAGAAAATCTGGTTATATAGGAGACAGGGAAGAAAAGCATTTCCCAGTCTGTAGAGGGGTCCAGAATGATTTCACTTGATTTGTATAAATTCTTCAATCTGATCATATAAAATAATGCGGAAACAAAATCAAACAACTTCATGAGGTATGGTGCTTAGAAACAGAAACATAATACGTAATCCTCATCACAATTTCACTCCAAAAGAAACCGCTGGTATATGCTATTCCGGTTGCATAATGTGTGACATTCTTACCTAGTGGGTCTCTCCAGGCTTCTGTCGATGTTGGGTTGATACAAGGAGGCCTGTTGAGATAGAATGATAGTACGATGAAAAATTTTACCATGGCCAAGTTTCTTTTGTTCACAAACATTAAATTAGGTATGTTAAAAAAAATTGTCAAAATTGAGATTAAAAATGCCATTTATTGTGATCATAAAAAATGTCTTCCCAAACAGATATCATGCCACCTGGTTTGTACTTTCTTCTCATCCACTTTCTCGTCTGATGCTCTGCACTGAATTTCTCTGTTTTACTCAAGTTACTTACAACCTAAACATTGCCTGGGAGAAAAAAGAAAAATCAATAACTGGTCCTTCATGTAGGAAATGGACTATAAATAGAAATTTCCTATATAAAGAAATGATTTAATGTTTTGTAAAAATTTGTAGTTATTCAATCCTTCTTTATAAATGTTTGTCATGTTGCCAGGTGTAATCTTTAAAACCTAAAATGTAAGCAGAACTTGAGACATCTTTTATCTATCAACAGAGGCATGACATTTTAATAAAAACCACAGAATGTGGCTTGAAATTACACTACTGGTACTTAAATCAGGTACAGATTACATCTTTCAAATAGTTAAGTTCTGGGTTAGTTTAAAATAAACAGTTTAATGAACCAATAAATGATTTAATGTCGGTTCATTAGTTGTCAATGGTTGTAGGAACAAAGACAAATAGAAAATACAAATTGATAAATAATTCCAAATGCTTATTATACACACCATTTTCATACTCCTTCATTCTGAACAGTCCAGTGAAGTAGACATTAAGAAAAAATGTTATATAAGAATTGTTCACTTCCATGGCTATCTAGCAATTATCTGGAATAATTGCTAAAATATCTAAAAGTCAAGAGAGAATCAGACTCTAGAATGTCGGAAGTGACACTGATGTATAGAATGTACAGGAAAATGTATACTTAATAGTCATATTTGATGAGTAATTCTTCATCACAAATAAACTGGTCTGATGAAGAACTGAAATTCCAGTTTGAAAATGTTCTTCTATATGAATGTCTGAAAATGTAGCCAGAAAGGCAGAATCTGGCAGATTTTATCTTAAATTCTTGCTACTAAGAAATATTTCGCCAGAGTGCTAAAATCATTCTTAGTGGAGATTAAACCACGCTTTAGGAACTATTTCTATAACTTTAGTTTCTATTTGTAAATTAGCACCAATTAACCCACTAAAATATTAGTAGATAATCTTGAGACTGTAAATCAGTCTGACAAGCCCCTTGTTGCAGAACTCGAACTTTGCTTCTATTCAGTAATGTTTTCGTTTAATTTCATTTTACTAAATGAGGATGGGATCTTGTCCAGAAACAAACAGAGCATCCCTGGAAGAGAATATTTCCCTCATGTTAGACAGGAAAAGCATATTCTAATAATTTTCATTCCTAAAAAAAAAAAATTTAGATTTCTAGATTCTCAACACATATAAAATTAGAAAATAAAGTTTGGTTTGCTGATCTGATAAGTTTTACAAGGTTATTTTAACTCACTGAACTCTGAATCAGACCCTGGAAAAGTGGAAAAGTAAATACTAAATAAGAAGGAAGACCAAGAAATAAATAAATAAAACCAGATACTTATTTCAATCTGGAAATGTTAATTCTACGTGTTTGCAGACGAGCAACACCCAAGCGCCCCAGAATGTTGCCATCCGGGTGCAGCTCCTTTCCTGGGACACCCAGCCACAAACCACAGTGGATCATCAGAGAGTCCATTTCAGAGTACGCGTAGAACACTCCTGGAGCAATCGGAAATTTTGGGTTGCCAGGTTGAGGTGAACCTCAATAATATTGTGACATTAATTAAAACATCGTATCGGAAGGTGAAGCCTCTACCCTTCCTCCTGTTTTAGATGTTTGCTAAGAAGCAACGTGAATTTCTCCTTGTGTTGGTTTCCACAATCCAAAATAAACAGAAATGGATTGTGTGATTTTATGTATACTCAAAGGAAAAGGTTTAGTATCAAATTAAAAGGAAACTATAAAAAGTCTAGATAGATCATTAGGAGAAAACCTTGTATGATAATTGTATGAATGGTACTCATCCTGTTCACCTCCAGAAAGGAGGTAACCTATTTTACCTATGATCTACTGAATATTTACATATTACCATTATTTTAACACAACTAAACAAAGGTCATTTTAATAAAGTATAGACACTGAATGACTCTGTTAAATGATCATGTGATTATACTTTAAAGTCCTTAATTGTTTTCCATTAATGCCAGTTTCTCCACTATATTTGTGGATTAGAAAATACATTGTTCATGGCATATATTTGGCACTTGATAAATGGTAGCTAGGGTAATATCTAATCAACTATAATTTTTACAGAAATGTTTTACATAGGTTATTAGAGACAGAATACAGTACCTTATCAGAGTATTTTTTACACCCTGAAAAACCATGATGTGAAATTAATAACATAGTTAATATGCTATGTGAATCATACAACACCCCTCTCAACCCCAAGGAGATAATGGCAAATCAGTTTAACCACCTGCAAAGTGCTCTTTTATTGCTACTACATAACGATATAGAATGCACAGAATTAAGTCTCTACTATTCTTAGCCTAAGAATTTAATAAAAATAAATAGTTAATAAGAAACGGTATTAAGTACACAGTTTGATTCTAAAAGAGTTGAGCTCTCAATCTCTCTCTTGGAAGTGCTAAGACGTGTGGCGTAAGGGAAATAGCCCTGATAGAAAGGTTAAGAGATCTATTTTATTTTTAATTTGCCACCATTTTACCATGTGATTTCGGACATCACTTCCTAAAATCATTGAGCTCTACTTTTCTTGACTGAAAAATAAGGGAGTTGGATGTGGTGATCTCTAAATTCTTTTTCAATTCTCAATGAATCAACTACCTTTTAAACAACCTAGAAACACCTGACCGAAATATGTGAGAGCAATGTCTGACCAAAGTGAATTCCAAAGTAAATTTTGGGGTTATCCATGTGTCTAAATGAAACCCTTTCTTCAGCTGTGAAAGAAGCATAAGCGTAGAACTGCCTGTTGTATTTGATTTCCTTTACATAACATGCCCATCTAGAAAAGTGTTTAGTTATGACTGAATTTGCTAACCCAGAATGTTCCTGATTACTCTATTTTACTTTTAGTTTAATATCTAAATATTTTGATCACTTCTGTTTAACATACATTCTGATGCATAGTGCAGGGGAAATAATTTGAAATTGTACATTGAAGCTCTAGAGAGTTGGCATTTCCTTGAGACTGTACTTGCAATTCCAGTTTTGACCACCATGAGTCAGTAGTGCTCTCAGCAGCACAGGCATTCTACTAGCTTTGTTTTATTTTCTAGTTGCACGTATTTTACTGAGTTAAGACTTTTTAATGAAAATAAAATATTTATTAAGTGTTTTTGTACTTACTTGGGACCATAGAAAAACAACTATTCAAACACCAGTTTATTCACTTTGTCCTGGCTGCCCCTAAGAATTCCCCCAGGGAGGTTTTTACATAGTTGATGTTTAGCAAAACTGTCCCTGTTGCTTGTGTCTCCTAATGAGTCTGAAATCTGCTTTCCACAATACTTTTCTTTGCAAAGAGCAGGATAAAAAACTTTGACTGTGGATAATTTTCTGCCTTTTTTGTACTCTGTTTGACCAATTCAAATAATAGTTTCCATTATCCAGCATAATTTTTTTTTTTTTTTTTACCTAGCAGATTGTCATGAACATTCTAAACAGAGATGGCAAATTCATTTCGTGTCATATGCCAGTGATGATCTGTTACAGGTACTGTCTGGGTTGCAGTGTGGAGAGGGATTAGTAATGCCTGTCATGGGTGTGGAACTGGAAGGATGGGACATGTGTGCCAGTTATTTTTCAGCCCAATTCTATTTTTTAGCATTTAAAAAATTTTCAATTACAGTTTACATTCAATATTATTTTGTATTAGTTTCAGCTATACATGTCAGCCCTATTCTTGATTTTATCTGATGCTAAAATGCACAAATTGTATTTAAGAACATGGAAGAATTAAAATACAGCTTAGGACTATGTGGGGCATGAACATCTGATTATCTATGAATCTAAAAGATCATTTTGCATCTCCAAGCGTGATGCTAAAATGGCTCTGAGAAGCCTTCTACGTAGTATGGTAGTCTAATCAAAACAGGTGGTTAATATTCACACTGAGACTCCTGCTCTTGATTTTCAATGATCCCACTCCTGGATACCAGGACTGCCCTGAATAGCTCAACTCGGTTATGGTTGGAATGATTCTGCACCGCATTTCAGAAAGAGCCAGCGCCTTTGGTGTAATGCATGTCCACGGCATGCTGGCGGGTACAACACAATGACGCAAAGGTAGATTTTCAAAAATAGCTTAGACACTACAGTGAGCTGTAAAACACCAATGTTCAGAATCACAGAAACAGCTCTTCAGAGAGAAATCTGAAAAAGAGAATAATTTGTTTTTACCTCATTGGGAACACCGGGAGAATGATCTTGAACATAGTCCAGAGCCTTTTTAGGAGGCTGGGTGCCGATGCACACCACACAAGCAGAGTGCAGAGATGGAATGGAGGAGAGTCAATGGCAGCAAGGAATGAACATGTGGAAAAGGTGAGAACAGTTAGAAATCGAGTGACGACAGCATCAGATAACATAGAGAGTGACGCGTGAGCAAACGGGGTGCTCTAGGAGGAAGAGCGCTCTGCTCGTAAATATTCCCCAGCACGGAGCACAGTTACTGGTGGTTTGATTAGTATATTTATCAATTCATTTCATCAAATCAAATTAGCACTCCTAGTCTCGAGCCACAGAGGAATGCGAAGGTTACTAAAGGCATGTTAAAGGCTGAGTGGATGGCATGCAGGTGAGTTTCCATGTGTGGCTGGAAATGACTAGAGAGATGCTGCAATTTAGGCTCCGTATGAAAATTGGCGGAGTCTCGGTAAAATGTCTAACCGACAATAACAATACACATAGAAATAAAGCTAGAGAATTTGTTTTCTCTGAAATAAAATACTTTTATGTG